ACAGGGTCCAAGGGAGGGAGGGAGGGAGGGAAAGAGGAAGGGCAGGAGGATTTTAGGAGGGTGGACTCTGGGAGCAGGGCAGCGGGATGGAGTCAGGCAGCACCCCGCCACCTGCTGGGCCTCAACCCAATGACCTTGGCAAGGAGGGTGCTGCGTGGGAATCAGCAGGGTGGCCAAGGACTCGCAGCAGCTTGGTAGTTCTTGTCGGGGAACATGGCTTCCTTCTGGGGTACTTTCTCCATCGCCTCTCCCAAGCGTCTGAGATCTCGCTCTGTCTTGTGTGAGGGACCCCATGCAGAACCTCTGGGAGCTGAGGGCAGCCAGCAGCCAGCCCAGAATGCAGCTTTTGAACAGCTAAAGGAGCGGCCTTGGAAGCAGCCCTCCTGAGTCCAGTCTTTCCACGAGGCCCCGGCCCAGCTAGGGATGTACTGAAGCCCCACGGGGACCATGAGCCACAGGCACCCAGGTATACCAGGCTGCAGTCAGCCCTGCAGAAATGACGGCAGCAAATGCTGGCCTCCAGGCTTGGGGGTTATTCGTTACACAGTCACAGGTAACCAATGCCGCAGGCCCGTGAATGCTGACCGCACTGGTGCACCGGCGTGGTTTCCTGCCTGGGCCTTGAATTTCCCACATGGGTCCTGTTGCTACAGGGAGTCTCTGCTCCAGGAGTCTAGGAGGAAGAATCTCGGAGACTGCACCAAAACTGTCTGTTGGGGAAGCTTGCAAAGGCAGCAAGCAGCGTCCTGTGTTGGCGGGCACATCACTGCTGGCACTTTCCTCAAGAACCACGTTCCCCAGAAAGTAAGGAAGGGGCCGGAATGCTGACCTCACCAGCTAGGCGTCAGAGTCCCGGACCGGGTCTGGGATTTCCCCACAAAGGGCGGGTCCAGCTCTTAGTCAAGGGACCCAGGCTTAGAAAGAAAGTTCTGTATCAGCAAGGCTGTGGTGGCAAGGATGGATTTGACTGGAGTCATAAAATTTCAGTTTCATCAGGGAAAAGTGCCTGCTAAGCCAGGCTCGTTGGTAACTCCAGTGGCCTGTTGGGTAGTGAGCCTTGCTTATAGAGGGGAGGACGGGCTGGACTGCACATGGTCTGGGGCAAGCATTTCCCAGCATGCCTTGAAGGGTCAGGCTGAGCTTATTAATTAATTTTCTTTTTCTTTTTTATGTATTTAGTACAGGGTCTCACTATACAGATTGGACTCATAGTGATCCTCCTGTTTTCAGGCTTTCCAAGCGCTGGGACTGCAGGCCTGTGCCACCATGCCCAGTCTCAATCACTGTTTCAGCGTACCCCAGGGGCAAGGCTGGCATGGCACGCCATGCCAGGGTCAAACCCTGGTCTCTGCATCTGCTTACACAGGTGCTTTAGTCCATTAAGCTATCTGGCCAGCCCAAAGCTTATTAATTTATTAACCCAACACATATTTGTTGATTGGCTTCAGTTCAAAATCCTGTATGTTAATGTCAAATTGACATGTGGTGGCTTAAATAGAGATTTTGTTTCTCTACCTAACAGGCAACTCGGTATTCAGTGATTGCTACTTCAGGGTGAGGGTCAGAATCGTTCTCAAGCTCTTGACTTTTCCTTGTGGCTGCAAGAGGGCCACTGTGGCTCCCGCAGTCCCCTGCGTTCATGATCTCTGCTGCTGAGAAGTAGCGCTGGCTGGGTCTGTTCCTCTGCTAAGATAGCAAAAGCTTTTCTAGAAGCCAGGGGTGTGCTGGAAATTCTTCCTACCAGCATTGTGAGGCTTGAAAGGAAGGAGAAAATCCAGATCTTTTACAAGCACTGATTTTTGTTGCATAAATTTTCCTGCAGCACCTAATTTAAAATGACTAAGACAATGTCATTCCTGCTGACTGCAGGAAGAGACACTCGTAGCACGTGGTCACGTGTTTCTATCACGTGAGGCAGGGCATATAAGACCCTCCAGAGCACACAGAATAGTAAAGTATATCCAAGTAATGAGGGAATGATGGATTTTGACTGTTTATTATCTTTGTTTAAATGTTTTTTCAATTGGAAGGTTATATGAATTAATCTTTTGGTAAAAATGTATTTAATCATGGAATCATAAATTCCTGAATGGTGGACAGCCCCACTCCACCTCAGAGTCCACTCCAGACTGGCCCAGCCCCAGCTGCGAGTGCCCTGTCAGCCTCCTTCTACCATAGACAGCTAAGCTGGGTAGACATGCGGGGCGGCCAGGCAGGGCCAGGCCCTCGAGGGAGTCAGTGCAGAGTGAGGACTCAGTGCAGCTCTGGCTGGAGGTGCATCTGCCAAAGCGCAGGCCTCCAGGTGAAGACAGGTTGGCCAGGCCTACGGACTTCCTGCAGGGACATGCAACAGACGGTAATTAGTGCCACCTGGCCCAGCACGGTCTAGACAGACATCAGTCACCCACGTGGGTGACAAAGACCTCCTGATTCATCCCTTCTGCAGAAGGTCTTTGTTTTTTCCATGCACCCTTGCTACGTGACCTGCTCTGAAATTGGATCAATGTCACCTAAGTGACTATACATTGTAATCTTATTGGTTGTCATAGTTCTGTCTCATGTGACACCCACCTTGGGAGTTGGCTTTATAAAGCTTCCTCTGTGAAGTGGGGTCCGTGGAAGATCACTTTTGGGCCTCCTCCTGTTTCTCAATAAAGTTTCCTGTTCTTAACCTCCATTATTAACTCTTAGAATTCATTCTTCCATTTTGGCATATCTGACGTGGATGTGTTTGAGTGACACTTGTTCCTCCTGTATTGCTTTTACCCTCACTTCCCTGACCAAAGTCACATGGCCACCCTAGGCACACGGAAGACTGGGATGGTGAGAAATGGCCACCGCAGCAGAGCGTGGCCCAGGGAGGCCCGGGTGGCCGTGCCAGCCAACCTCAATGTCTCCCATCCACTGACTGCCAGGCTCTTGAGGCACCTCTAGCCCAGCCAGGAGCTGGCCCCTCCCATTTCTGCTGTCATGGGGGGCAGGAGCAAGCACTGAAACAAGTAAGTGTGGCCAGGACCAGGGAGCAGGGGCACAGGATGCTTGGCCGAGTGCTCTGGAGAGTGCTATGGAGGGGCTCAGGGCCCTTATTGTTCCATGACAAGCCACTGCAAGTGGAGAGGCTGGAGACAGCACGCACCTCCCTTAGCCTAGGGCTGCAGTGGTACCAGCTGGCCCTCTGCAGCATCCACCACCCATACACTGGCTGCATCCCAGCTCATCCAGGTTCTTGACAGGATTCTTTTCCTGGCCAGTGTGACCAACGGTCCAGCTTTGGCCCGGCCCCAGCTGCAGGCTGTCCTCAGTTCTCGGTGTCCCTTCTGCCCAGGGTCTTTTCTAAAGGCCTGAGCAGTAAGTGCAGCCTCTCTGGTGTGCACAGGCACAAGACCTGGCACCCTGAAGGCGCTCGGGGAGGCTGAAGCCCACCCCTGCCAGCTCCCTATGCACACTGCAGACAGGCAGGGCTCTAATCACATTTGCCAGTACAGGTCCTTCATGTCCACAGGCAGCCCCTACCTCTCCCAACCAGGGGCCCGCTGTGGTTGGGGACATCCTCAAGGATCAGGACCACAGTGACCCCCCAACTGTAAAAGGTGTCTCCACAGGTCACAGGCCTCTGCACTGCTGTGCTGTATGTCACACTCTTCTCTGTGTGAGAGGAGTGGCCAGGTCTCACCCTATATGTCACTGTCCCCAGAAGGGCATCAGGTGAGCCCCTCACCACATACAGTTGTGGCAGCCACACCCTAAGGTGACCCCAGATCTCGAGCACAGGCAGAATTCATGCCTGGATTCTAAGCGATAGCTGGTGGCAAAAGAGATGGGGTGTGAATGCTATGCACAACTCAGAATCCAGCTAGAGTCGGCCTTCTGGGGTCCCACGGGGTCTCACCTCCCTCAGAGTCGGCCACTGCCACAGGAACTTCCTGCAGGGTTGCAAGGAATCAGCCTGAGTGCCAAGAGGAGGAGAGGGAGTAAGACAGGTTCTCAGCGCTTCCCCGGAGCAGCAGCAGGGCGGAGGGGCTGCAGGGCGGAGGGGTGCAGGGCGGAGGGGCTGCCGACCTGGGGAAAGAATGTAGAAGAGCGGGTTTGCAGCCTGAAGAAAGACTTTGTTTTGGGTCAAGACAAGCCTGTGGGGCCTCCTGGGGCCTTGGGAAGTCAGGGCTGGAGACTGGGACCCTCAGTTACCGGTGGGCAGAGGCTTAAGCCGGCGACAGGCTGAGGTTTCCTGGGAGGGGTCCACACACAGGGAAGGCCTCCTGGCTCTGCACTAGGGGGCACCCTAGAGGCGGAGGGGGTGCAGCAAGCCTGGTGGAAGGGCTCCCAGAGCATAGATAGGGTCACCTCCCAGAGAGCTTGAATTAGATGACGGCCGAGGTTTTAGGGCAAGTGGACAGATGGGGGTGGCAGATGGGGAATGGCAGAAACCGGAGCCCTGAGGCGCCTTTAACCGGCGCGACTCGGAGTAAGACGCGGAAATGGTCCAACCTGGCCGGGCCCCAAAGGTTTGCCTCTGTCCATTTGTAAGGAACACGTACAGGCTTTGAAATGCTTGCAGAATTACTACAAAATGAGGGATTGGGATTGACTTCGGGAGGCAAATGATTTATCTCGCCTTTAGGCCTCAGTTTCCCTGTGCGTAAAGCAGGCCTGCCTCGCTACTAGCCCTACACCCCCGAGCTCGGGGTTTGGGACTAGCCCCGCGGTCTTTCAGAGGGTCTTTGGCAGCACGAATGGAGAGGCCTGGAAGAGGCTACGCGCGGGGCCCCGCCCCCACCCCC